TTCAGTTCGCTGCTGCTGACAGTCAGTTTAGAACGAGACTGTTACTGAACTGGTTTCAGATGCTAGTGTTCAATAAAACTGTGTAATACATAACATTGATGGTACGCAGTGTTGAGGCGTAATAATTTGACAGTACAGAATGAAACAATTTAGCAACTGTTTACATCTTGTAAACCTCATCTTCCCTGTGATGGTGGGAATCTTCAGTAACCTAAATGTAATTTTTTAGCTTCCGTCTGGATTCTACTTCCATTTGTCATGTAGCCGATTATCTTTTATGTTTATGCGTTGATAATTTCTTGTATCAGATTTCTGCACTGAAGATGGCCGTCTTCTGAAATGGAAGAGTCGTCCTCACACTTGCTGTCTTGAAAACTTGAAATGTCACAGATTTTTGCATTTATTTCTAGCATCTGGGTGACAGCACTAACATATTGGAACAGTTGGCTAAAGGTAGTCATCCTTTTTCAAAAAAATGGGCTGCCGCAAAACGTCCTGTTCTGGTCTTGGGGTCTGACCAATTACAGAGACCAGATGGAGCAGCCATCTTGTCCTTGGTACACAAGATTGCTTCTGTTAAAAGTGTGGTAAGTTCAGATAGAACACGATAAGCAAACACTAAACTTTGTTAGAATGAAAGGAAGGTTTATACAATTATTATATTACAATAGTATTTACTTAATGTGTTTGCTGCTTATATGATCTGCCAAATATCATTTCATTTCTTCTCGCTGTGTGCGAGTTGGACATCATGGCTGTTGACATGCTGAAAACCATTTTGTAATATTATGCTGCAGGGTTTTATTTTTCTTCCTTCCTGCCATCCTCATCTGTCATGATCAGCACTAATTTTTAAAAACTAATTGCTGTTCACTAGTTTGTGTTAAGTGGAGACATGGTTTTCTCACCGGCACACACAAGAGCTAATCCGAACTTCGTGAAGCTATGATGATCCGATTTAAAACTTGAAATTATTTGAAGATGACTCTCTTCTGGAATATTGCAGTCTGGTAGAAATTTTAAAGGTGCTTACTGCCTCTGTCTTCAGGGCGATTGTTCATGGTCCATAATCATCTTATTATGTTAAGTGTGCTGTGCTGTGCTGTTGAATCAGTTTAATTAAGTAACCTAAGAAATATGATTATCAGTCTAGTATATATGCTGCTTCAAATTGAATAAATGTTAATAAGTCTTCTTGGGTGATGAGCTGAGTCTTCATGGAGTAAAAATCCATCATTTCAGATATTTGTCTGTTAAATCAGTTTCTGAAACGGTTTGTACTCTGTACCAACATGGTTGGTCACCTTGGGAAGATTTTAATGCATTTAGTCACTGTAAAAGTTTCTGTATTTTTATTACTTATTACACAATGATTTATCATATCACATATATTTTTTTGGTTTTGTTGTAGAGTGATGGTTGGAAAGTGCTGAATGTTCTTCATCGCGTAGCATCACAGGTAGCTGCACTGGACCTGGGTTACAAGATGGGTGTTGCTGAAATAAGAAACTCCCCACCTAAAGTGCTGTATCTGTTGGGTGCCGATGAGGGAACCATTACGCGCGATGACCTACCCAAGGAAACTTTTGTTGTATACCAAGGTACTCTGGTTTTAAGTACATCTTCATATGTTATTTCACGTTTTAAAAATGACTTTGTATGACTTTTGCCACCTGGAATGGCACGTTAATTACGATACATATGTTTGCCCCGCTGACATCATTGCCTTTGATGTGACACAAAGAACACCTTTGGAAATATTGTGCGCTCCAAAGGGTGCACCTTTCCAATCTTATTTAACTGAATGATAACAGTTAAAATCACTCCTGCTTACTAGGACACCATGGTGACGCTGGAGCCGCAATAGCAGATGCGGTGCTCCCAGGAGCAGCGTACACTGAGAAGCAAGCCTCGTATGTGAACACGGAAGGAAGAGCCCAACAGACGTTGGTGGCAGTCACACCCCCAGGTCTTGCCAGAGAAGACTGGAAGATAATCAGGGCACTTTCAGAGGTATATATTACTTGCCTGATAACTGGTTTAATTGATTATTTATCAGACTGTAATACTGCTTTATGGTGGAACTCGTGCCAAATAATTGTTAATTCCATCATTATCTCAGAAGTTCACTTCTGCAATGCTTTGTAGTTATTTAAGCATTAATTTAAAACTACTGTACACAGTTTGCAAGAATAAAAGAATTTCAGTATGACCTGATTTTCCTGTATTCTGCATTGTTTTGCATAATCACACTATATGATTTATTTAACTTTTCCTCAATAGGCACAGTTACCATAAATATGTAAAACAAGTAATATCTGGCGTGTATAGATGCTCAATATTAACGCTATTGTACTGTACCATAAATTTTATTATCATCGCTATGAAAGATTACTTAATATTTTTGATACTCTATGGATATGTGACAGTTGCCACATGTACCTTGAATTGGATTGACGATAAGATATATTCTTTAACCTTTTTTTTTTCAAGATCGTGGGATACAAGTTGCCATATGACTCGTTACATGAGATAAGGCTTCGCTTAGAAGAGGTTTCCCCCAGTCTTACACATTATGGAGAAGTTGAAGAAGCAAATTACTTCAAACAGGCTGCAGATCTGTCGCAAGTAAGTACCACGTGTTCTGAAATCTTGTTGGACAGAGCTTAGTTAGTTATTAGTTTTGTTCTGTTATCTTAGGAGTTTAATGAAGATGATTAAGAAACTGTGGAAATGTATTGTACTTCAAACCAGAGTAACACCTCTATAGTGAATTTTACCTGTCTGAAACTTTTACATATATTTACCAAATTTACTTGGTACTCTAACTGTAAACAGAAGTTTGTATGGCACATTTTCATAAGTTAGATATCACAATTCCGGTGAACTGTACATTCCAACATGAAACTATCCTCCAGTCTATTTTTGAAGAAACCGTTCAGTTTAGAAAGGGTTGAACTGTTTTGCCGTGAGGCTTGCAGTAATGCAAGGTGAGCTACCATCCGGTTTCTGCGGAACTCACATTAATGTGAGTCGAAACTATGCAGCCCTGTGGGTCTTGCTTTCGTGTATAAATATTTTTCATTGAAGGGTAGGGCATCTGTTGACACTAAAGTAGAATCTTTTATCTTGTATTAATATAAATTTTCCTGTGAGATGTTGCAAGGCATAGCTTTGTTCTTCAGATCTAAAACTTCTTGACGATGGTGAAGAGTCATTCGAATAAAAATTTCCTTGGATATTATCCATCGTCTAGTAAATATAAAACGTAAAACGACGTTTAGGAGATGGGACTCTATCTCCGTCTTCAGGTTCCTACACAGTTGGGCCCACTAGATAGAGCTAATCCCTATCTCCGGACCAGGTTGTACCAACTTGTAGGTAGTGTCTTTGTGTTGGTAGGTGTTAGCCATGGCTTCTTTTAGACATAAACAGATTGCAGAAGATAACATTAGTAAACTCTTTAAATTCCACTCCTGGCTGCAAGATAGGTACCGGTATTTTATTGTTCGCTCTTATGTTGCAGAGTGTGACTCAGGAGCTGTCTCAGAGCCCTCTTGATGTAAAGCAAAAGGAACTGGAGGACTTCTTCATGACGGATTCCATTAGTCGTGCATCACCCACCATGGCAAAATGTATACAAGCAGCTCTCAAACAAAAACAATCCAAGTATTAGATTTAAAGTTTAGTGAAATTCATCGAAGTATTGTCATGAGGTTCCGAAGCTTCCAGCACATGCAGCGAAGGTTTGATTCTCTTTGGGGAAATAAAGGTCATTCTCTTATACAACAAGCAAACAATGTGTTAATATTAGCGCAGAATTTCTTCAGCCCTTAATGAAGTGATTATCATAATTGGAAATGTACATAATTCAATAATTGTTAGGTTCATTAATTTATAGTACTTTTGTGCTGAAAGCATAGTTGGCTTGTTGAGAATTATGTTTATGTTATTTACGGCTAATCTTAATAGGTTTCAGCCTTTCCGTAGTCGCGTAAGGAACAGTTCTGCTGCACAGAGTACGCTGTACATTGTGGACAGATCATTTCCTGTAAAATTGATTTTTCTTTGGTGTCAGTCAATATATCGATGTAATTTAGGCTGGTCGTAACTGATGGCAGTCATGGTCTCATAGTTTTTAATTTTAAATGTGAGAACATTGAATTCAAATGTGTCGAGATCAGTTATTGCACTGGTGTCTAAATTCTTAAAATAAGGTGGTTTTTCACTAAAAGAAAAAGCAGCCTTCTGACACACACATTTTCAGTAGCAGTGATTGGGTTAATATAAACTGCATACTCTTCAGTTAGTGGCGAATGTTTAACGTGGGGTTCAGTTTGTTCTGAAGCTGTATTTTGGAAGTTTGTTAAAACATTTCATTCAAAGAGAATATGACTACTATATTCCCTTATATTCCGGAAGCTAAAATTAAAATCTAGCCATTTTATCAGCTATTTTCTTCAGTCACTGAGCAGAGAAGAAAATCAATCAAGGTTTGTAAAATACACGGCATGTGATGTATACTGCAGATGGACTGTAGTGGATCAGATTACATGTGCATTAGGTGAGTCTGATGAAAGGATTTTGAATCCCATGATGTGTGTGTTTATTTCACATTGTATATAGGTACTGTATTGTCTCATATAAAAATAAAAATTATCAGATAAGACACAAATCTAATCAACGCTGAAAGGCAAGAATTTTATGTACTGAAGAGAAGCGAGATGTAACTTTGGAGATGAATATGTAGGTGTGATAGTATTATTAAAATGGATCTCAGAAATGTGGGCTATGGGATATGGATCTTCAGATTCTGTAACAAAGAATTTTTCTGTCACCTCTTTCCATCGGACCCTATCCTAAATAGTATGAACAACAGTTGCGGCGGTGGTTATAATGATGAGTACGGAAGTTGAACCTGAAGGTTCGACGCTGTCAATACAAAAGCCTGCTATTGACACAATCCTGTGCCAGTGTCATACATCTCCCATCATCATGATTATTTATTTCCCTCGTCCAAGGAGTCCTACCAAATGTCTATAGATCGAAACCAACGAAAAAGTTGGAACCTGCAGTGCTCGGGCACTTGAAGAACGGGTCGTCAAAGTATAAAAGTCTGGTGATTACATTGCTTTGTAACTAAAACAGTCATGCATTTAATCAACTGAAACATTTTATTTATCAATTAATATATGCCAAATACTATGACAGTTATTCAGAATTTTACTTTAGATTCTGCTGAACTGAGAATTTTATCTGCCATCTTAGCTCGCTGCTGCAGCATCTCCATGTCTTCTTGTGGAACTGATTTCATATTGCGCAACAGGAAATGGTGAATGAAGAGCCTTATTCCTTCTTGGAAGAGATGCAGCTTAGATGAAACAGCTACACGCTGAAAGGCCTGCTGGAATGCTTCTTCCGAATCAGTGAGCAAAATTCCCAGAAGAACCTGGCGTAGGAATCGCACAGTGATCTGATCCACCTCTGCAAAATGAATAACCTGCAACACAAGTTTGGGCACAGTGGAGGTTTGTGAGACCATAACATCATTCATACTATAACTATATTCTTATATATGAGAAGAAATGGCTCTTATAATATATGTAGAATGAAAATAATTTTTTACACTGACCTTAAGTACTGAAAGTGGAAGTCCTTTTTCAATTACCAAATGTACAAGAAACTTTGCTAGGTTTGTTACTTGGAAAGAAGGCATGTTTTGAAGTTCCTTGAACCTGTCCCAAAGGGCACACTGTATGGTGATCTGTAAGCAAATTATATAACATACACAAGTGCACACAAAATGTTTGTTATGTGGTATTTATCTCAAAATCGTAGAAGTTATATGGTTCATAAATTTACATTAAGTAGTAATGCCACAAAGAGTCCTTGAGAAGCTTATAGCCACTCAAGCTAGTCAATTAATTCTCTGCCCTTTATGGAACCTCAAGTTGCTGACAGAAATTTTTTAGGTCATAAAATCTCCTTGGCATTATTTTTTACTTCGGTCAGACATTGACTCTATATGAGGCTGGTGCATAACGAACTCATGAAACTCAATGTTAATAAAAACAGGAGTTATTTCCTTTACAAATAATATCCTGTAAACAGTGAGAAAAATCTCACACAAAAAGGAACGGTCAGGATAACGGGTTTCCTGGCCAAGAATCGAGATGCAGTGATATACAAATCTTTATGGTAAAACTGTGAGGAAAACTACCTGAAATTTTCTGTCAAAATCACAAAACTTCTGTGACAGATGACAGTAGTATGGGTTGAACTGCTTTTCTTGAAGGCAACAGTTTATGACGACATGCACAATCTCTCTCTCCTGTTGGTTCTTCAGTCCCAAATGTAGTAACTTCTCAAATGCATCAAGGTAATCCTGTTAAAAGTAGAATAAATGACCAATGACTTCACAAAATGTTTGGAAATAAGTTATTAGGTGTTCTTCACGATCTAGCACGAGTGAAGAACACCTTATGCGTCCTCCCACGTATGTCTGGCATGTTTTACGTCGGGGGTCAATGTTCCTGTGGGATTACTTAACCAGCATGGCTGGGGATCAGTGTTCTTATGAGAGTACTTAACTTCCAAGATATGGGGTGGCAGTGGTGCAAGAATGGCCTAAGACACAAAAGATTACATCAGTGCAAAATTGAAGTAGCTGCTTTCTGAATGCTTGTCTACAAGTCCAGCCCATTTTACACGCAACTGTCTTACTTATATGAGGTGAACTGTATGAATCATAAAGTTTCTCTGTTTCCCGCAAGCTTAATATCTCCCGTCTAAGAGGTCAGGCAGAAATCTTGCTGACCCTCTACAGATTCGTATCATCATCATATTATTTCTCATGTCAGTGTCACATGTATGATATTAATTAGTTTGATGTTTGTTAATCATCACAATATGTGAAAACTGAAATTAGTTATTGGATATCGTACATTTTGCAAAACTTCCGAGGCATTAATTTTTAAATCTCAAACATTTACAGAAATAATCTAGGTAGACTAAATATAATATAAATGGTAGACTGGAATTAATTCTAAAATTAATTTATGTATAATAAGACAAGCAAGATTACTACAATCACATTAACATATTATGTACATTACCTCAGCAGTCATTAGAATGCAGAAAATATTCCTGCGCACATCTGTGTTCATACGGTGCTTCCGTGCAAGGTCCAGCAACTTCTGACTGTACGCATTGCTTTGTTGAAGTTTTGTGCAGTTGTCTGGCTCCTGTTTTCCTGTCTTTCCTGGATTAGACCCTGTCCACGCTGACCCCACAATCCACCACCTTCCTCGTTCATCAGCTGCAACAACATGCTACTCAGTAACACACCCTGACATACTTTTAAAAATTACAGATTTAGCAAAGGTTATACCTAGAAGTTTGTTATAATGGATATTACAGACATAAATAAATTACTAAATTTTAACATAATTAATTTGTAATTCCTACAAGCCACACCATATGGACTGAAGCGATTAAAGGAAATGTAAATAAGATTACCATTTAACAAGTCATCCAGCGAGATCTTGAGTTCAGTGATATAGTTTCCTTTTCGCAGAATCCCCTTCATTAGTTTCTTGAGGTGTTCGCTGTGAGTGGGGTCATAATTTGGAATTTTTGCCATGTTGTTGTTCTTTATAGCCAGCAGAATTTCCAGCATAAACTTCACACGGGTACTGTGGTAGTGTCAAGTAAATCCAGACATATTAATCATAACAATAAAAATGATAACTCATACATAAAAAGCAGTTCACAGTCCACATTACAACGTTCATGCAGTTTACTAATTTTTGGCTGTAGACAGCAATTTAATTTCGCTACCGTGCAACTCTTTACATGTGTTTGAAATTCAGTCTCTTTGAAAGAAAAACATAGACTGAGGATGTTTGAGAACGATGTGCTGAGGTGATAACACAGTTAGGTAAGATTACATATTAAATGCGCTTATTAGATGGATGAAGTAAAATCTGTTACATTCCTTACATATGTGGATGTCAAGTTCAGCTTTATTACTGTCACATAACAGCCAAGTAAAGCTCTTCATTATAAACCCCAAATTAAATACCTTCATTTCACTTAGTGTCATTTACATGCATTCAAATGAAAATAATATACGGTAGCCGAACACATGAGCACAGTATTCCAAAAATTAAATTCAAGGTGTCAAAATTACTTGTGGAATATGCTGTAAATGATATGGAAAAGAAATATTTGCAGAATATTCCATAAGAGACAAAGAAAATGTAAGTGAATTTCCTGTATATTAATGACACATCACCCACAGTTACTTACCTATTCTTACAATTAGCAGCTTCTCCTGCCATCTGTTGGAGCTTCAGGATCAATTCTTTGAGTGCCAAAGGATCATCCTTACGCAGACTGAAACCCACGCTCCTCAATATTAGCAAGATCAATTCCACTTCTTTCTCTTCAAACCTCTCAGCTAATTTTCCCAAGATATCATACATCAGAACAGCACTGAACATCTAGGAAAGGAAACATTTAATCAATTTGCTAACCAATGACCACTCTTTGAAAATCTCACAGATTATTTTTAAAAAAAATCATAAGCCAGTTGATACATTCATACCCAGGTCCCTTTGTGCCTTTTAACTGCTCAAACTGACCACTTAACAGATGTATACTGTTGTATCCTAGCATACCCATGCCAAGTGGTGAGGTCAGGGTGATTCGTTCATTAGAAAAAACCTTCTGTGGACTAAAGATGCTTTATTTCTGATCAACATGTACAGCAACGTAGATTAGATAGTAGTCTAACAACCACACACACAGAGAGACAGTCCGAGATCAGCTCGGGAGTCAGAATATATCAGCTTACTCCCCTGTTAGTTCCACTCGCTACAGTTACGCTGCATACTTAAGTCAAAGTTCCGCCTCGTGTAGTAGCTACGGTATAATGTCTCAGCGCGTGGCTAATAGCTCAAACTGAAATAGTCCATGAGCAAAGAACATATTCCAGTGCTCCAAGCACAGACCTTCCCAAAATTATAACTTAAACTGAATTACTTCTATTCCGGAATGTAGTAACATATATAAAACGCAACTATATTCCCCTCAAACATAAAAATTAATAATTATATAAAACACACCTTCCCCTAGATCCAAGAACACTGCAGTACACTTTATATAATATAACATGGAATCTACCCAGCAGATTTAGTTCAGATTTCATTCTGCAGCAAGTCTATTATCGTTTGACGGACTGACACCGTGTGGAACACTCCTCGTATACAGAAACCTGCTGTCCCAACCAATGTAATTCATAGAAGCCAAAAGGGTATCGGTCCGATTTGTTCTTTGTTCCCACTTAACTTGCTAAGATCATTTTCCATTTGAAAGATGCATTAATCCATCTATAAGGTGTTCTTGATGTATGCTAAAGCATAAATAACACCTAAAAATTAATGTCCTTGCCAAGAATCAAAGCCCAGTCATCCAGCCTGTAGCTAGTCTCCTTACTAAATGAACTGCTTCAACTCAGTTATTTAAACAAAATGAATTGAAATATATACCTTAAAATTGTACAGATGAGACAACATTAAAATGATGTTGTCCAGCTGTTTGTTCTCAACTTCTTCTTTAAGCCGATAATGCTTGTCGAACTTTCTAACAAATACTTGTAATGTGTGAGCTCCTGGAAATAAGAACAAGTGTTATGGGTCTGTGCTTTATTTAACAAACTGAACATCACAGTCAAGTTGTTAGCACTACTGCTTCACATTCTGGTCCCAGATTAAAATTTTAGCCCAGAGACCAGCTATCCTGACAGATTTCCATGGTTTTATTCAGTCCTACTAGGCAAATGCCAGGAGAGAACATTACATTAAGCCATGATTGCTTCCTTGCATATAAGTTCCAATTTCATCATTCATTAGCTAGCCTGCAATTTCTCGCCATTTAATCCAAGCTACTTACAGTGTCATTAAATAAAAATATAGTATGAAATGACAAGATTAGTGTGAATGATGAATTGCGAAGTGATACTGACCAGCCAACTTTCTGGTAACGTAAAATTAAAGTTAAACACAACTAGTAGAGAAATCTACTACTGAACCAACTCTGTCCCCATCATCAGGGTTCTGATGATGGGGACAGAGTTGGTTCCCGAAACGTCAGTTTACTACAGCAACCAGTTGACGCGGCTGATTGCCCGAGAAGATTTTATTGTTTGTACTCGCCGCAAAAGTCTCAAATCCTATATTCTCTGCTTTATTTTTTTAAATTTCTCTGATATTCAAATATATATTTCTCTGATAGTCTGTAGAAGTTTTGTTTTGTTCTTTTATGTTATTTATATTTTCACGTGATAAATTACCGTCTTCATATACACAAACCTGGCCTAAGTCATTCCATTCCACTACTCTGTGTTTATCTTATCGCAAACTGGGCTCAGCCCTAACAGTGATCATTGCCATCATGTAACATGAAGTAAGAATATTTTACACATGAATGTGATGTAACAGCAGTCAAGTACTGACCAACTTCAGTGCCCACATTAGCATGAAGCACAGCGACCAGCATGGCATGCTCCATGATGAGGCGTTCTGGAGTAATGACTTGAGACACCAGTGACTCAAACAGTAGGTCTGTCAGCGACTCGTTCATGTTGTTCCGACTGTGAGACATGTACAGCTCTTCCATCTGGAAGACACGGCATCGTACAACAGATTGAACTTTCACGTCTTTCGTCAACCTTATTTCTCCAAAACCTATTTTAATAATATCCTCCAGATTACATCTAGGCAACTTCTTCCTTTTACATTTTCTGATCAAACATTTGCCAATTGCTAAACCAACATTACCATTTGGCAGCAAAGTTCAGACCATAACAGAATATTAACAAATTAAAATTACGAGTTTGACAAATAATAACAAAACCTAGAACATTACTTTAATCTGACAATGAGCCAAATAATCCATTAAGATTCTCATATGAATGCATATGCAGGCGAGCGTGCACGCACACAGACGCAAAGATGTTCTCTCTTGCAAGTTGTATTAAATTCCTACAAAACAGCCTGGCAATTGTTACACATTCTTTATTTTTATAATGACTGACAGTAAGAGCGTTAAAATACAATTGCCATCTCCAAGACTATTTTTTATTTTTAGTGTTCTGTCTGATGACAGGTCCATATGAACAGGATCCTTCCATCCTTTTCTCGGACTGGGACCTGTTCATATACGTTCTTGGCAGATGATCCAGAAGTGGTTTGCCATTGCCTTCTTCTGTGTGTGAATGGAGTAATTGTTGGGATGCCACGGAGGAAAACTCCGTGTTGCCTAGACCACGGCCTTGCCCAACACAAGTTATAAATTCGGGCACCGCCGGGAATCGAACCCGCCTCATTATTCATATATAACTTGTTTTCCCATCAATACTGTGTAACTTCTGCCATTAAAACAGTGCTATTAAAATAAACCAAGGACTATCATCATCAAAACATTACGGGCTACTATAAAATTCCATTTCCTTTCATCAAACCTAAAGTTTAGGCCTTCATGTCAGTTTTAACTACATTTGTTTCCATTCCTGGGTGATGATATACATCCACCAATCAGAATGTTGCACCAGATGATAGGCTTTTTTCACTGCCTCACCAACTCCCCTAAGAAGAAAAATAATTCATCGCTCTTCAAGCAACTGTGACATGACTTGTCTGTGATTGGCTGCATGCAGAATGAGTACATATAGGTGTTGTACCTGTAAGGCAATGGTATTCATATTGTTCTCAGCCAGACGATTCAATAAGCCTTTCATTTGTCTCCGTAATCGTGTCAGTTGTTGCTGTTTCTTGCTATCTTCATCAACTGTATTGCCCCGGACATGAGGTGGAACGTACCTCTCAGTGTTTGCCTAAAAAGAGAAGTTAATCAAGAAATGATTACGGAGTACTTTGGGTAGACGTGCAAAAGTAATGCATACGGCAGCCTTAAGCAACTAACCTTCTCACTGTCAATTAACTAACAAGATATTAGGCAGGTTGATGTGATTATTCCCGTGCTTTGAGGTTGTTTCTTATGTGTTCACTGCCCGATGTGCATGAAACGAACACATGTACCGCTGATATCTGTCCGTCCATCCGCGTGATTCAACTCGAGAACTGGCGGGTGGATTTAGATGAAATCTAGTATGGATCTTATGCCATTGGGGACTACCCAAAAATTGTACTTCACAATTTCTGACAATCAATGTGGCAGGCAAACTTGTGAGGTGGGACCAACACTAGTGCCACTTGAAATAGGGCCACACAATGATGTGTGGTTTCTTTGTATAGTGTAAAATAACATGATGGATGCATAAAAAAATGTAGACTTGATGATCATTTCATACTGTGATCACATGCATAGAAGAGCAATATACTACCACAGAACTAATGGACATTATGACGTATCAGTATTGATTTATATTACTTAAAGAAGACTTTAACACTCCATGCTTTCTGATCCCAGACAACAAATGCTCCTTCCAGTGGCAGTGGGAAATGGGAGGGGCAACCTATCAGGTTATATTAATTTAATTTGTTTAACTTCCCAGGACAGGGACCGGTGGAGGACTTTGGTTAATTTGATGATGAACGTTTTCAAAGTATAGTTACGTTTGTTTTCATAAACTAGAAAAATTTTCAGTCTGCTTTTGAACGCAAGTACAATGAAGGAACCAAACCGTTACCTGCAATCTTACCCATTGCTTGCTATGAATGAATTCTTACCTTGATTACATTGCCTTGCTTGTCACGAGTTCTGCCATAGATATCTTCCCAGTATCGGTTAACATCCCCACTCTCCTTCTCCTCCTCCACTATATCACCAGAATCTTTTTCACAAACATCATCACCATCAACATCATTTTTGAACCTTATAATTGCTGACTCATGTTTTTGCTTTTCTGTCCTTGTTAATTTAATATTTCTTCTTTCATTATCCATGTTATAGCTTTCCTCCAGTTCACCACATTTCTCCTTGTCAGTTAATTTACATTTCTGAAATTTCCTTTTATGTTCAAGTAACTGTTTACTAACTTCACGTTTTTCAGTGTCTGAAACTTGACAAGCGTAAACTTCATTTCTCTTCCTTTTCAAATTCCTTTCCTCTGAGATAAGATGTTCAACAGTAGCATCAGAGTCATCACTGAACGCTTTATTATTTAAATTCTTTGTGTTTATTTTTAAAACGTGTTTGTTAATTCTCCTGTCTAACTCAGATTCTGATGACATTTGGGAATTTTGTTCAACCTGGATAGTATCAGATCCAGAATTGTCACTGTCTTCAAAATTCATCACTTCCCCGAATTCTTCAGTTTCTGTCTCGTCACTATCGGCACCTTCACGTGGATCACTGTCGTTATCACTGTTGCTCACGATGATGTTATTCTGTCTTCTTCTAGTGCTGTCTTTTTGGGTGTTGTCTTTGATCAGTGCTAAATCTTCTGTAAATTGTGAACCTGAATCATGTAAAGTAATATCCATCACCGTTGCATTCTGCATATCACTTGGTTCACATACTTCCAACAAATCTGTTATCTACTAAGGAAAATTCTTTAAATACTATTATATCTGCTAAATCTACAGTTACTTTATTTCACATGTGTTCTGTGTGACCAGTTTATTGTTGTCTGTATATTCCATATAATAAGCAGTGTTAGTTGGTTGGCAATAATTTTGTAGCTCTAATATATATGCAAACTAACACACATATAACCATAGAAATACAGGAATTAATTATTGAGTGTCTTCTGATGTTAACATGGTGACATTACTATTTGTGCTACGTTAAATTGTAAAGATATGTCAGTATTTTAATTTTGATATGCTGCTTTGTGGAAACAATGCACTGATAAAAAAGACTGTTAATTCATCCATGACCTACTATGTACATGTACTTCTTTATAACCCACCAAAATATATTTCACAATATTAATATTAGATAATATTATAATCTCTCATTAAGCAGGGATATGTAATGATTTTTAATTTGTATTTGTTGGTTTGGTAGACTTTCAATAAGATGTTTTTTTAAGTACTACCTCAGGTTTTCCTATCATTCTCAACAGGAAATTTGCTAGTACGTTTCTATAAGATCAGAATTTCAACAGGATGTTAAGATCAAATAAAATATCTCTACCACAGCCCTGCGTTTTGAGCTCAAAAATGAATTCATTAGTTGAGGATAAAAAGGGAGACATTATTAAAGTGATTTATAGTCTTTTATTGATTTCTTAAACTTCTGATCACCTGATTCTGTGTGACCATGATCTCTCACTTAAATGGCACCCTAACTATCCATTGCTCTAGATTCCAGGGTACTGTATTTTCTGAAGTTTTGGCTGTTCTACAATGACTCTGAAACTGTTACAGATGTTTGTGGCACATACTCTGTGATCTGCAGACATAAAACTGTAATCAGAAGCCAGAGCACCATCTGTTTTCTTAGTTCACTGATACAGAGGAGAGGACTGCAAAATGTTATCAGTGCTAACACAATGAACAAATACTATTACTTTGAACACAATGCATGTGATAGTATTTTGTTTTGCTACATACATACCATACAATTCTTACACATCATTATGCAGTATCAGCAAGCTTGCAGTACCATGTTATAGAACACTATCAAATACAATAACATAATGTTTCACAGTACATAAATATACCCATAACAAGGCGACCATTAGCAATTCAATACTAAGGGAACTTGGGGAAGAGTAATGGTTTCAATATGTACATGACCTAAGACGCTTTTATAAAGGATACAGTCCAACCCATCTGCTGTGAATGACTTCGGAACTGATTTCAGTTTCCTTTTATTAAGCTTGAGTTGTTTTTCCAACTTCCTAATTACTTTGTCTTCCTGTTGGTTAGCTTCCTTTAGCTGTTTCATACGTTGATTCTTCATGTCCACCTGCAATTTTTGATGTCTTTCTCTTTCACTATAATTTTTCTGAACTTTCTTCTTCTTACTTTTACAGACAGACATATCTGCATTGCTCTTCATTTGCACTTCATGTTCAGCATTTTCAACAACAGATTTTTCAGATTTATTTTTCCTCCTCTGAAAGAATTCATTCTTTTTTTCTTTCTTAAGTTTCCTTTGTTCTTTCCTCAATTCCTTTCGTGATTTGTGAATCTTTACTTGATTTTGCTTCCTCCTCTGTTTCATGCGCCGTGCCATTGTTTTTCTACACTTCAGTTTGAGTCCTGAGATATGTAACTCCTACATTCAGACATAACCTCAATTTTCTTTCCCATAGTTCATATTTTTTTCCACACTTCTTAACCAATCTCGTAGGAGTAGTGTAAAGTAAAGTTCGACGTCCTTAAAAACGTCTACACTGCAAAAATATTATCGTTCACTTAGAAATATCAAAATTTATTCCTAATATCTAAATACAACATAACCTTAAAATTATCTCATCCAGCATGTCACAACTACATCAATCAAAACAGAAAATACCAACTTATGCACGATAGAACACTCTTCAACACTCACAAATTTTCCTTATTACATTCATCTAAAAATCTTCACTTTATTTCATCTATGACCTCGTTCGGTATGTGCAGTCAGTAATGATTAACAATGCTAAGTTTTTTCTGTGAATACCAAATGGATACTTTATGGTTTGTATTGCCGTTTTGTCTGCAACGGTGCCCCAATTATGGAGGTAGCGAGGACTTCTGACACATTGCTAAACTTCTGCCAGACTACATTGCGTTACAATACAGAAAATAGCCATCTTTGGTATATGAGTGTAGGAAATACATGCCTGCCACGGATTTACAATAAGAAAAGCGAATATGAAACCTTGAGAAAGAAGAATTTTTTCACAATGATACAAAACAGTAAGGAAGCATAGGTAGTCCTTATCAACCCTTACATATGCAACAAACGAATAGCAGAATTGGGTGTTCAGTTTTTGTTAGTGGAGATTTGGAAACAAATGTTTAACTGATGAATAAACGTTCAAAACATACCCAAAGCTTTTGTGTTCTTACACTATTCAAACCTAGCTTACTGTGATACGAAATGAGTACCAGACTTAAAAGACGCATCAATAAATAAATAAATTCTGTTAACATGTGTCCTGTTGAGTGAAGTACGAAGATTACTGCCCTCTGGGTTTCACGACGTGTGGTCTGGTAGTAGTTGATTCATAATAGTTTATAGTAAAATAAAGGCGTGCCGGCAATAAAATGTTTAATTTAAAATATTCTCTACAAGTTTGATATGAAACTGAAATAAAGTGTTATTTAATATTGAAACACTTTCAAAAGAATGATGTCAAATGCGTTCAAAGGAAAGCAGCTGCTACGCAGTGTTGCCAATTACTGCAACAGATTACCTCGTCTGAGGAGCAAAAGGAAACCTTTGATTAGCTAATGTGAAGAAAACTGCTTGCATGATTTGCGTCATTTAGCTTTAATACATGTGTATGCAAGACGTAAGCGGACACATGTCATTTTTGTAACCTGCACAACTGAGTTCTAGGGAAAGTCTCTGAATAAGTTAATCAACTTTTTCTTTTTTGGAAGATGGCAGCCCTCTTCTTTCAGACATCGTGTAACCTAGTAGACGTTTATTGAGGTGTTTGCTGCCTAACATTTTCAGATCAGTGATATTTATTGTACCCAAAGAATAAATGCTCCTTAAAAATTTCCGCCTCCCGCCATTCAATTTAGCGTTGAGCGTTTTACGCTCTGTGAGTTCATGTGTTTTCGACTCAATGTAATACCATTGCTTCAACCCCTCTAAGAAGTAATTGGACCGGTAACGTGGTACGCATGCGCCGAAGATCTTCTATTCATAGTACCCATTTTGGTCACATGTGAGTATTTGGAAGAAGCTTAATATTTTAATAAATAGTGAGATATTAGTGGTTTTATCAGAGATTTTGGAACGTTTTATCGCGTGATTACTTTGAAGTGTCCTCATAATCGAAGGTATTTACATAATAGTATAGAATTAACTTAACGCGATAGCCACCGGCAGGTGTACTTGACATTGCACGTTAAGCTAGAAACGTTCTTTCCCGCCATGTTGGGTTAGCTTTCATCAACGTTTCGTATTCGTTTTGGAGATTGGTTAGTGGTGTAAGGATAGTTCGCAGTTTCTTTGGGTTTTACTAGTACTGTACAATAGAAATTTGGCTGTTGGCAAGACCTATAATAGCTCATCATGGGTATTTTCACGATTGAATTGCTATCGCGTTTTGTAGATTTTGCAGTTTTAGATTATTGGGCATTGTTATTTTATGTTGCAAGATTTCGAAATGATTGTTGAGGCACAGTTACCGAAAGAAATTAAGCGCTTCAAGATTATAGTAGTGCTACAAGTGTCAGCTGTAACTGAAATGTAAACACTTTCATAGCACATGGTTCAGGACTTTTATGAGGTGTCATAATCGTGCCTAAGATTAAAGGATGCTACGGGAATGAGTCATATGAAGTTGGATTAATGGATCTTAATTATCGATCTTGCAATTTTAGTGTTGCATAATGAAAGAAATGCAGTTGGTGTGTGGTACATTAATGTGTTTGTGGGGGTCAAAGAACTTGACCATATGGTTATTTTTACTGGAAAGTGGCATGTCTCTCATGTGATTGAAGAAGGATTGTAAAGTTTTTCAGTAGCGATTAGAACTTGGGGCCTTGTTGTGATGTAAAGTCCATGTAGTTATTACTTTCGTAAGTTTATTGCTAGTACTGTGTAGGTCTGATTGACTTCTCCTCACACATTGTGGCTATAATTCTCCATGTATTATGTTACTGTGTGGATGAATATTATAGGAAGGACTTGGTTCATATTATTGTTCCTATCTTATTGCCAACACTTTAAGTTGAATCTAAGGATAGTAAATATTTGTACTGTTCAGTAAACAAGAGAAGTGCATGTGCTGTGTGAGTTGCTGTTCTTGGGATAATGCACAAGAAAATATTTTAAGATTTGGATTCTTATTTTTACATGTGCTTCCAAGCATCTTTAACCTGAGTCAGATTGTATTGTACTGTTTACTGAGAGACCCATCTTAAAATAGAGCAGTAATTTCCTTCAAATAAATTATGTCTGTACATTTTGTGTAAGCAAATTTGAAATTTATTTATCCAGTAATTCATATTTGGTGACAGGTTACTTTATTTTATGTAATGCTTGTTATGGGTATAGGAAGTTCAGTAAAAACATATTCTTGGTTTTAAGTTGATAACTTCACATTATTACATATTACTGATGAGAGTCAAGTATATGGTGATCATATTATAAAATTGCCTCTTGAAAATTAAATGAACTGAAAAGAGTTTCAGCTATAAATGTGCTACATTTGTGTCTACTGGGTTCTTGGCACTGAGTTTGCTGGTTGATTTGTTAGGCATGCTCAAGAACTAAGGTTGCACATTACCCCTGAAATAATGAGGACCACACAGCTTTCCATTATACATTTGATGGCAACTCTTGATGTTTCACAGCTCTGTCCTGATAAATTGACATGGTGTACTTGCACTTAAGTTGTCACTTTTAACCCACGTTTGTCAATCACATACTTAAGTGTCTAAAGGGAATATGTACTTCCCAGTTCTGTTCTAGCATGGCTCTGCCTTCACATCTCTGTGAGGCTGTGGTACTTTATAGCAGTCGTTATGCATTCTCTGCACAAAGTAATGCACAGGGTTTATCATTTCTCTCTTTGTGTGATTCAAGTTGAGAACTCTTGGATGGATTTTGATTAAATTTGGCATGGATATTGTGCCATTGGAGGCTGCCCTGAACTCATATTTCTTAATTTCCTACAACTGGTAATACCAGAATCATGGATGCATAAACTTGTGAAATGGAAGGAACACTGGCACCAATTAAATATGCCGTCGTACAATGAAGTATGGTAACGAAAAATGCATGGCTCTGGTACATTGATTCTTTGTACAGTGTAAAATAGCATAGCAGCTGCATTATCAGTAAAGACAAATGGCTTTACCAAGATTTAACCCCATAATCTCTTGTCCATTAGCTCAGTGTGCTATCACAGAGCTAACTTTCATTGTGTTATATTACGAATTTACATGAATTAAAGAGGATATTAACAGCACATGATTTTTGAAGCTAGAAATTAAAGTTTTGTTTGTTCGATAACAAATGCTATCTTTTATGAATACCTTTTCTTTAAAATTAACGGATTACGAAACATTTTTCAACAGAAGTCAATGACCTCTTTGAAAACTGTTTTCACAACAATCAGTTTCTGATGAAATAAATCAGTAGAAAAGGAAGAAAAATGTTTAAAACATGTCATATTTGTTGGAAGTAAATAATTTGGTCTAAAATATATGAAATTGTGCATACAAACAAAACTGTTTCCACTTTGAAAAACACTTAGTGCCAAACCTATGTAAGGTTTTAAGATTACATACATTGGATTGCAATTTGCTCCAATTCCTTTTGTGAATGAGAAAGTGGGTAAGAATGCATGAATAAATATGTAATCAATGATCTGTTGTGTTTATATGAAGAATACCTAGCGTAATGTATTATTATTTTTGCCATTCTTACACACCCATTCAGGCTTTAAACTTTTAAGTGAACTGTGTGAGTTGCTCTAAATAGGTAGGTTGTGTACTTTTTACAAGTCTTTTTTTTTTGTCTTGCTTCTGAAGCAGTTTTCTTGTATTTATTTTATTGTGTTTTGATTCTTGAAGGTATGTTGTTTCTACAGTTCCTTCAATCCTGTATATTTCCCATGTTTTCCGGGAATGTATGATATGAATTTTATAAAGCATTTAATATGGGTGTTTCATCAGCTAAGTAGTTACATAGAGAATAAAATATAATTTATTTATTTTATAGATCTTTTATAGGCCTAAGCCAAGGATGTTGAACATAGCGTGAATACAATTATAATATCATAGTTATGACCATGATTTACAGTCAACTACAGTGTTACAGCAAAAATAATTACTCAAGAAATCATCACCACTGTTGCTTTTAAGTATTTATAATAGCAGAGAATTTTTGGCTGATGTAAATTCTTTGTGGAGTGGAGGGAGTGAGATTAAACTTCTTTTTTGATATTTACTGAAGTTAGTGTTTGGCACTTGAAGGTTATATCTGTCTTGTTCTTATAGTGTGGATATCTGAGTTTGAAATTTTTGTGTTGTCCACTACAAATGATTATTTTCGAGAAAGAAGACTTTTTGAAATGGGAGTATTGAAATTCTCAAGCATATAAGCGTGCATTATGTACTTGCATGGGGAATGCATGGGCAGGTCTCGTCTGCCAGCATGTTTCATTTTAAGATCTGTATCAAAGTTTTTGATGAAATTCAGTGTTGTGGTATCGTAATTGCTGGTTGGTTGTCAGTCAGCACTAACCCTTCAGATTATAACTTCATCAAAAGTTCTGTACAAGTTGAAATTTCTTAATAAAATTGGTTTTGTCCTAAGAGTCCTTTTCAATTAGATTGTGTTGTCTTCTGCCATTAATAATTTTTCAAGCTGATATTTTTGCAAAGTTGCTGGCTACTCTGATCAAAGTTTTATGTTGTTTGTCTCCATCTGCACTTGAATGCTAGGATATTGCCTTCTTCCCTTTTCCAGAATTATTATCTTCTTTATGATTCATCATCATCATCTCATCTCATGCATGATTTAGCCTAACATTTTAAACAACACTGTTAAGTAACTGAGGAAGAGTCCATCACACATCTGATATCTAAATGTCTTGAAGGGGCATCTTCCCATGTTTTGCAACCAAAAGTTTGTACATGCCTTGTCTGTTCCTTCATTCTTGTTTTAACTACCCCAAAGTAACCTTCAACCTTTACCTTATGGGGTGTACAGGGTTTAAATCCATGACGTAACAGACTGTCAACCAGGCTTCGACTCTGGGGTTTAACAGCGTACCAAGCAGTAAGCTGGCTAGTTTGCATGGAAATTGTGAGCATGGTCAATAAAAGTTCAGGTACGGCACGTTTGTTAATGTGCATATGGTTGCAATGGCTATGCATGTTCTTTGTTCAGAGCTGCAATAGAACGAGTCCGGAGTCACTGGCATGCTCTACGTTATGGTTTGCCAGTGCTGATGGTCTCGCAGAGTATGCCTCACATTTGCCCTGGTTGAATTATAATAATTCATCTCAGCTTCCCCTGTGCAGAGACATGTTTCTGAGATCTGGAGTGTGTAATCTTGAAACTGAACTTTGGGAACTTAATTTTTGGGAGATATTCTGCACATTCTACAATCTCTAGCATGTGTACAGGAAATTAGATTTTGTGCCTTGCCAAATTAAAAAAATATTAATTTCTTGATAGATGGAAATATCTTATGACTAATAGGCATTATGGCAAACCAAAAATTGCCTATTACTTTTTTTCCCATGTCATAGTACAACATGAATGAACTCTTAAAGCAAAATAGGGAAGTTGTAACTTCGACCCCACTGAACCTGCTGACTGCAGTCTCAGCTGCTGTTCACTTCCACAACTGCTTCATGTACTTTATTATCACCAGAAACCTCCATTGTCACCTCTCAAAATTCTACCACATTCTTTTCTCAACCACATGGACCTCTCCCATTGGATAACAGCCTGTTCCTCCGCTCCACCAATTAGCACCATCAGTTATCTTGCCACTCACTGCCTGCCCTATATAATGCCTCCAGAACTCACCCTATCTCATGCCCACCTTGAAAATGGCAATTGCATGTTTGTTGAAACATCATTTGACATGGCTCTTGCCTGAAAACCAGAGTTATATATTTACTAAAATTATGGTTTTCAATGTGCCCTATGTCAAAAGGAGGGAGGAGCTGTAAAGTGTAATTCTTTTCCCAGCAGTATTCTGTCATTTATATAAAAGTGCACCAAATTCTGTTTTGTGGGTCATTGTATGAAACTGCAAAATGGCAGCATGAACCCACAACTTATGTATAGTTTCTGCAAGCATATACCTTGTGGTCTTAATTTAAAAAATATAAAAATCATCGTAAAGCTGGATATTTTTTTAAAGTTTCATTTCCGTGCATCATTTTAGGGCCTTTCATTAAGTCACGCTATTGTTGTTTCCTTGTCAGTTGTGTCATTACTAATCATCATCATCATCATCATAAAGGTTTGAGCCAGCGACTTGCTTTGAGGCCAAGTTGTTTGGTCCCACCACAATTTTTTTTTTGTGAGGGGGGCAGACATTGTCCCCTTTCTGTCAGGTTTATAAAATGAAGCTTGTTGTGGATATTGAAGAGGTGGCATCCCGATTACTTTTTTATTATTAGCTGTTTTTTCTTCTGCAATATTTAACACTCTTCGTATCATAATTTTATCTTTACTACTCATAAAGATATAAAAACTAATGTTTTGTCTAGCTTCAAGACATTTCTCGCAGTACACATTCACACTTGTATTTACAACTAGGTTTTGGCATTATTATTAAAATCTTTTACTTCTGTTTTATTATTTTCCCCCCAAAATTTCTCTTAATTTGATGTATTTTGTTTTCTTTTCTAGTCATTAAGTGGCTTCTTACAGACAAAGTATTAAACGAGTGTCATTTTGGGAATTGAAGTTCTTACACATACGCACTTATATGTATTAATATGTTCTATGTGGAGAAGTGTTACACTACTGTTATGTAAGATATTGCTGATTCTCATAAATGTGTACCCATCATTTTGGGACTGGCTGTGTTGATTGCTGCGGTGACTGAATTCGTGATTGGACCGTGTTTATTTATGGAGGTTTTGGTTGGGCTGGATCCTGTAGTCCTTCGATTTTATTAAAGGTGAAAGTAGATTTAAGTTGCATTTATGGAGTCTGGATCATAGGTAATCGTAATATAATGAATCGATTGTTATCTCAAACCTCGCAGAGAATCGTGAACGAAAATGTGCCATTTAATCTTGGGGGAGATTATGTGTTGTTTCTTGTTTGTTTTGCAGAGCAAGTTCTAAGATATAATCATCATGGCAGATATTGAGGACACCCATTTTGAAACTGGAGACTCAGGTGCATCCGTTACTTACCCCATGCAGTGTTCTGCTCTTCGCAAAAATGGGTTTGTCATGCTCAAGGTGAATGCATGATGAGAATGATTCTATTCATTCAGTAGAATTGTTAATAATTTCCCAAGTATGTGTAAGTGAGAAATGTAGTTCCCTTTATATACGCTTGTCCCAAAAAGAAAATTACTGTGGGATTGAAGAGTCTGTTCTCTTAACCACTATTCGTACTGAAAACAAAACACCGAAATGAAGGTAACTCAAAAGGTTTCAAACTAGTAAATGTCTGCATAAATGCATTGTGGTCACAGGTACACATCACTTTGGAAACACTACAATCATTTTGAGTGACCTTCATTTTGCTGCCCCCCCCCCCCCAATACGCATAATTAAGAAAATACAAGCCTTCTAAAACCATGGAGTGATTTGTGGACAGTTGGTATGTGAACAGAATTCTTTTACTTAATTTAAGCGTGGTGTAATTTTGTATTTAACCTCAAGTAGCCATTCATTCCCTCCGCCACGGTGGTCTAGCGGTTAGAACGCTGGCCTTGTAATCCTGGGGTCTCGGGTTCGATTCCCGGCGGTGCCCGAATTTATAACTTGTGTTGGGCAAGGCCGTGGTCTAGGCAACACGGAGTTTTCCTCCGTGGCATCCCAACAATTACTCCATTCACACACAGAAGAAGGCAATGGCAAACCACTTTTGGATCATCTGCCAAGAACGTATATGAACAGGTCCCAGTCCGAGAAAAGGATGGAAGGATCCCGTTCATATGGACCTGTCGTCAGACAGAACACTAAATATAATAATAAAAGCCATTCATTATTTCATTAGCAAGTAGCTTAAATAGATCATTAAGTTGCCACTAACGAGTTTTTTTTTTCACAAGTTATTTCAAACGCTGTTGTCGTAACTGATGGATGAATAATGAGCTGGAAGATGTTCTCTTCTCCAGTTTTTAATCTCTATCCTTTTTAATTTTCGTTTCTTCCTATTTTTCAAGGATTCATCTTGTTTGTTTGTCGACACATTTCCATACCGTCTGCTTTCAGTAAAATTGCGTTATTTTAGGATGCTAAATTTATTTGAATTCTGATTACGGTTTCCATGCTAATGTGAATTTGTGACCCAGCGTTCATGGCTGAACTGCCTGAATATCAGAAATCTAGTGACTTGCAGATTTTTAAACTTTATTGAAGACTTCTATTCTTTCATAATTTTTTTTTGTATTTTAAAAAATAAAATTGTTTTGCAGGAAAACCTATGAAAAGTCCCTGAATCATGGGACAAACAAGAAACTTTATAAGATCGATTTTTGGTCTTAACATTGTTGACTGTTAGTTGCTTCCATTGGTAGGAATTCTGAGTTACAATGTGGAGAAAATCCTGTTTTATTACATTTCAAAGTTTTAGGTGGATTGAGAGTTGAATAAGGACAAGACCTTCAGCCTCCCCCAAAATGAACTTCTCTTTTGCCATATTTGGATGCTCTCCTCACATTCCTGATGTTTGTTCATGTTATATTGCGGGTATATATTTTGTGAAGGGTTTGGTAATGTTTCTTTTTTCCAGTCACGCCCGTGCAAAATCGTTGAAATGTCAACCTCCAAGACTGGTAAGCACGGCCATGCCAAAGTGCATCTTGTGGGTATAGATATTTTTAATTCAAAGAAATATGAAGATATATGTCCATCAACCCACAATATGGATGTGCCTTTTGTAAAGCGTGAAGATTACCAGGTAAGGAACAGTGCTTTACGTCTTCCCTGACTCTGTATCTCCATTTAGTTATTAGTCTCGTTGGTGTTCATTTGTTTAAAATACTCATATTTCATGCTTTTGGAAGAATCCGATTATGATTCTTGAGTTCTTGTAGGTCTGTCACTGATTTCGCTGACTTTTTTTAGTGCTCCTTTCAGATCTTGCCAGATATTCAGTTGTACCGAGACTTATATTTTGAACTTTGTTAACATGAAGTTGTTTGAATGTCACCTGAACGAGGCGAAGAAGTCTTTTCTTAGTTTTCCCTTACCACAGTTACAGATATGGGCCACAGTAGACTCTTTGACTGGAATGAAGGTTAGGTTGGACTTGAAAATTTGTGATCATAAAAGCTTTCAGTAAGCTGACTAAGGCAGATGGTCATAACTCATTTCAGTCCAGCATTGAAGTGGAGTCGGCGCCACATTTTTATTCTGCTAGGCGTAGTCCATTTAGACAGGACACAAATCCACTAGGAGTTTGCTTTGATCTGGGAATTACTGTTATGTGCTGATTGATTTATATAATTTTGGAGTTTCTTTAAAGGCCACTTATATTTATTCATTAAAATCTTCATGCTTTGTAGAAATCAGTTCGAAAAACATTCTTTGTGAGTTAATAAAATAATATGATGAAAATTTAACAAAACATCAAGAAATTTGTTTATATTTTTGTCATTTTTATAAAAATAGTCATTTAGCGGAAAACTGTGCAGTATTTATTTTAAGCATTGTGTGCTTTCTGAGAAGTGCTCTCTGTATTCAGACAATTTACTTAACATGATGGGCCAGCAGTCGTAAGATTGCGTAAATACTGTGAATGCTACATAGGTCCCGAGTGCATACTTGGGCTAATGTGGTATGTGCATTGTATATAACCTGAATATTTGCTTGGTTTGGCATTGAAACGATTAAAACCGATAATAATGTACCGAGCCTAGAGTCACTGACATTACTGTAAACATGGTTTGTTGGTGCTGAAGGATCTCGGAGATTAAATCTCACTTATGCCCTGGTTGAATGTGTTTCTTCTCAGGTACCTGGTGCAGAAACATTTTGTCATTTGTAAGTAAATGCCATAAGATCTAATTTTAAAGTTTAGCTCATGGTAAGTGTTTTGAATGTTGATCAGGTACCAGCCATTGTGGGGTTGGCGGTCTTTCTCAGTTTCTCTGGCCAAATGCCGGGATTACGCGCATAGAATATCTTCCCCTTTGCTTGTCCATATTCATTGCCTGTAACTTTGTCATATCATTTGACACTGCATAACCTTAGCAGTTGATTCTGCCATGATAAAATTACATTGTTTTACTGCAAGTGCTAGAGCATTTCACAAGTATGAAGATGGCTGTCTTCTGTGTAGCTCCATATAATTTGGTAGACGTTTACCAACTTTTCATAAGTATCACTAATCCTGATGAGGGAGCAGCAAGCACCTCTGACATGTTAGTAAACTTCTACCAAACTACACAGTCCAACAATCCAGAAGATGGTTAGTTGCCTTCAAGAATGGATGTCATTTATATTTACTTTGATGAGTTTCTTTTAATTATGTACTGTCCACAGACCAGGAGAAAAGCCCTGCTGGGGGAAGTCGTTTCTGGGGCAGTGCAGGGGGAATATTTACTATCAAGTGGACTAGAGGGCTGCTATTGGTGGGAAGTGTGATACGTCAAAGTTTTACGCTACTACACACAGACTGAAAACGTCAAGCAGTTAAGAGTAACGCGTAGTGAGTGCACCTGTACTCTGTTCTGTGTGTGTTGCGATAATATTCTAGATTAAATCGCTGTGCCGCTGTGAGGTAATCTTAAAGCTGTACCCATTAGAACACATGAAAGTCTGTCGTCTGTTGTTCGTTCCGTGGTTGTGGAACGAATGCTTTTAGGATGGGTCGTCACTCACCGCGAAATCTTGCGCATGCACGTATATCGAATTCCTAGCAGGGCTTTTCTCCTGGTCTGTGGACTGTAGAATATACTGAAGCATCTGATTCAGGGCATTCCGTTCCCATCCTTCCTAATTCTCTTTGACTTTCCGGTGGCGCATTCCAGAGCTAAATTAAAGGCAGTTGTGATAGATACTTCCCTTGTTTTACCCCATTGTGAATTGGAATTAAATGCAAGACCATGTAATACAAATTCTTACTATTATATAGCTGACTGACATCTCTGACGATGGTTATCTTTGTCTCATGGCTGATAATGGAGACCTGCGTGAAGACCTTAAGGTACCTGATGGAGAACTTGGTGCACAGCTGAGGGCTGATTTTGAAGCTGGTAAAGAGCTGCTGGTGAGTTTCACGTGCCAGACATGTACATTTATTTTTGTTAACCATTTCACTGTTGCCGTTCGATCAGTACCGCCACACACGAAATTAATGGTTATTGGGTCTGCTGAGAGTAATGATGGCATAACATCAAAAAAAATAGCCCTGCTATAATTCTGGTGCCAATGATACGATTCTGTGGTCCAGAAGTACTAAAAAATACGAAGGAGTGGATGTACAGCTGGTTGATAAAATGGTATCATAATATTCATATACCGAGCCTAGAGTCACTAACATTTTGTAACCTTGATTTGTTGGTGCTAGAGGACCTCGGAAATTATATCTCACTTATGCCCTGGTTGAATGTGTTTCTTCTCAGGTACCTCGTGCAGAAACATTTTTCTTGATAATGCGGTAAACTGTCGGTGCTTCTAATTTTCACAGACCAATATACAATATGTTTTTTATAATATCTTAGTGAAAGTATTGTAATGTGCATTTACGTGCTTCATACAATCAGAAATGTGAAAGAAATTATGGAAGTATTTTATATTGGCCTATGCCAGCGGGCTGGTCGCTATTCAGTTGTGAGTGTGTTGGTGGCTTTGTGACTTCAGGTGTGGTCTTTGACCATCCTTGCCTCTGACAGTATGGAAAAAGTAAAGTTAGGAATCCACATTTTGATGGGTTTAGGGCTCTAGGAATATGCATGCTCACTTGTGGGCAAGTATATTTTTGAACCTTCAGGTTTTCTGGGGCCCTGAATTGAAGCATCTTAGGGCATGATTTCCATTTTGCCCCTAATACTAGGATGATAATGATGATGATGGAGATGGTGGCTGACTGCATCTTTAACATGTGGACCTGGTATGCTTCAGTCATCACGTTTTAAGTCTGAGGTGAGGGAGGGGGAAGACATGCTGATAATACCACACTGGATTCAGCTGAAGGCCAGCTTCTTATACTTACTAGTGTTACATTATCTGATAGAACAGTTGTCTGCACTGTTTAATTTGTGACTGAAATAGAAAAGAATTACCTCGATGAAAAGGGCGGTCTTTTCCAGTCGTTATGACATTGGTGCTGATACATTTAATTACCAGCAATTTCATATGCTGTTTGATCTGTGCTGCTAGCTGTTTTTTCAGAAATACAATGCTTTAGGAAAATGACTAAACGTTTTGTGTTACTAAGTAACGCTGTGTTCAGAAATTTTTGGTTATTGTGGCACATTTGTGCAGCAAACTAATTTATTATTGCATTGTGGTATCTATGTTCAGGGTAGGGTCTGGTGGTGGGCTTTTGTGAACACGGTGATCAACCTTCGGGTCCCGTAAAGAAAATGGGATATTCTTTGACAAGCCGAGTATATAACAAGTATCAGAAAGGATTTATGGCGTTTTGAATTTATGCTGTGAATTATAAGAAATATTAATCCTTTGTGTGTCTATAAAAATACATACAATATGAATCTTCACGTTAACTTGAAAATGTCTCGTATCTGGCGAACGCATTTACATAATGTGATTTGAGGGGGTTGAATGTTTACGTTATATTACAGTATATAAATTCACATTCTTACGTTTTGTTCACAGTGCACCGTTTTGAAGTCCTGCGGCGAAGAATGCGTTATTGCCATCAAAACTAATACAGCTCTGGACAAATAATTTATGCAAGCTGTCAGGGAAAAAATAATAATAATATTAAAAAAGAAATTACATGAAAGAAGCAACGGTTGATGCTATGTGTACTACCAGGGCAATTGATGGGTGAGGTTTTTGTCACTGTTCCATTTGCTAAACCAGTTCCAAAATTTAATATATATTGTACCATAGCTATAAGAAAAACCAGACCATCGTGGTATTTCTGAAATGCTTGTTTGATTTCTTTAAAATCCCACATATGTATTATAATAAACTACTGAATGATTTGAAACAGTTACGTATGATAGTTTTGCTCTCCCCCTCCCCCAAATGAGGATGTGTTTGCACATAAGGAGGTCATGAAAATAATAAAAGGCTTGTGGAGCACGTTGTTTTCGTTGTTGGCCATCCCTGCTTCCCAGCACAATGTGCATATAGTGCTGTGTTGCTGCAGCTGTGACATTATACCCTGCCTGCCTCACCTGAAACCCTTGCCAGAAACAAATCACTTTCTGTGGCCCCATGTATTGGAAAGAATACATTCTCAAATGCTATTAATGTGTATGTATTTAACTCTGGGATCTTGGTGAAGGAAGGATTTTTCTCTTTGCAGTCTTTTTGTGGCATCTTTTCTTTTTTTTAAGTCTTCATAATGCCAATATGCTTTTGCAGTACAAATTGGTGTAAAATTTCCCTCAATTGCACCTGTAGGTTATACATGTACGGGGATAATCTTTGTTTGCAGTGTGGCTCAATGTAAAATCAGTGGTTCAGGAGAAATGCAAGGGAACATTTTGTTTGTTTATGAAATGTGATATGCAATATTATGTACGTTCATTTGTCCAACAATTTTGTTTTGTGAAGTGGTTTATTTGTATTCTGTGATTGAAATTACCCTGATATGAAGTGGTTAGTATAATTACGACTAATGCGTACTGGTAGGTATTAACATTATTTGAAGATACTTCTGCTTCATCATATTGATTGTTTTAAAAATCTATGCTGAAGAAAAGTGAGGGTTTAAGAATAAAAAGTTAATTTCCAAGAAATAAGTGACTTCATGATTTCATACTACTGTGCAATACTGTGACCCCATTGCTACAAAGGGTTGTATTGGCTTTAATATGTTCAGTTTTAAATCAGTTATTTTTAAAGTTCGTTAGTAAACAAATTGGAGCTTTCACAACTGTTGGGAAATTTTAACAACTCAACTGATGTTTCAAACGAGTTGAGTATGGGCTTTGGTTAATGGTGTTAAGTAGTGATGGAAGCCATCTGCCAGGCATGCAACAAAGCTTGAATCATTTATCTGGTCTTCAACTTAAAATTAGATTAGCTAGCCATTTTACATATTTATCATTTCCCTTTTGTTATTTATATATTGTAATTTTTCATTGTGTATTTACCGTGTATATTAGTCACTCCTTAAGCTAAATTAAAATTAATATGGAAGATTTTTGACTTTCTTATGATTACATTTTTGACATAGTATATGCAGGTTATGTATTTCCAGGCAGGCAATACCATAATGAAATGGTTAATACTTTGTATTTTATAGTTTGTATAAGTCTTGCATCTTTAAACATTGCATAAGGAGCGTAATGATGTAAAACCAGTTAAGACGATACTTTTCATGGTTTCAACCAGTCGTTGAGCTCTGTATAAAAAAAAATCAGGCTTTGTGGTGGAGAAAGAATTGTGAAACTCAATAACTTTTTATGTAGAACCCAGTTCTTATTCTTTTCAGAATCAGAGTTTATATCAGGGTTTGCATAACATTGCAATTAAAATAGTGAAATTCCCATTTAATCCTTGTAAGATAATAAGGATAGGGAAACTTAGCCCTTTCATGTTTATACATTGTGTTTTAATTTGTAGTTGAATGTGTGTCATCTGATTACCACCTAGTGATGGTCTACGTTGGCTGAGTGCTACCGATTAATCTACATATAAGATAAAATTAGTCCCCTAAGAACAATAAAAGTAACTCATGTAGGTTGTAAGAGGTGCTGAAAACTATATTTGTTTATGTGTACATATGCTGTATATAATTTTGAAAGGTTGTGGTTGTTGCAAAGAATTTCATAAAGGTTTGGCAAACTGTCATCAGTAAACATGACATTTTGTTGGGTTTTTTTTGACCAAAAGTGGCACAGTAGATTTGACTTTTTTTTGCTGGGTTTGTGGATGCCTGTTGAGCTTCGAATTGTCTTTCAGAAAAAACTACCATTGAATTTCTTCCAAGACCATATTATTCATGCAAAATATATGTTCCACAGCATGTCGAACCACATCCACTAACAGTTGTAGCTATTATCACTTATGAGGGGCAGTCAAGAAGTTCCCAGAATTGTGGTATAGCACTAATGGTTGGACATATGGCAACACTTAACTAATCACCTTCAAAGTAGGACCTTTGCGCACACACACACTTGCTCCATCGATCCTGCCATTATTGGAAGCACCGGCGGAAGGCTTCGTTTGGAATCTTCCGGAGTTCGGCCGTCGCATTCGATTTGATGTCCTCCATGGTTGCGAAACGCGCCCCCTTGAGGCCCATTTTCAGAGTAGGGAACAGCCAGAAGTGACTCAGGGCGAGATCCAGAGATTATGGTGGTTGGGTGATGATGGGAATGCTTTTCTCGGCGAGGAATTGCTGCACAACCAGCGATGTGTCGGGAACTTCTTGACTGCCCTACGTATGCTGTTCAACATTATTGCAACCACATTCATTTGTTTGCATATCCCTAACTGAATGCATATTTGTATAAGCATGAACCATTTCAATGGCATAGCATCCAATGCAAGTCTTACTACACTTGTGTCAGTATGATCTGGTAGCACTCAGTTGACGGTAGGCTGTTGCTAACTGGCAGCTTGAAGTGACAGAAACATTGAACTGTGCAAGAAAATATGCTATGGGTGGAGGAATTCCAGCAGTGTGGTGATTTGTTTCACGCAATGCCTCGCTAAGAAAAATTAATAAATGTACAGAATTAACTACGACATGAATTTCAAAGCCAATATTTACATTTTTTTCACACACATTCAAAGATGAAATTGTTCTTTGATAAAAAAAATTACAGCAATTTGTTGAAAATCGAAATACAACTGCTAAAATTTTATTTACTCTGAAAGGGTTAGGTGGAGGAAGATAATTTACAAATAATTTGGCTATGGTCATAGAATTTTGGCATGATAAGAGGAAGACCTGAAATACAGGGTTGTTAAATGGGGATTCTACTGTGTTTGAATTTTGGTATCACAAGTCTTTGTTTTAATCTCATTCGGCCTAATAACAACAACTTCATTCGAAGTTACTACACTGTGATGCAGGTGTATGAAGTATTGATACTAAAGCTTTGGTGTTTTAGTAATTTCAGATGTGTTGAAAGTTTATTTTTTATTAAGAACAATTGTTCTTGCTCATCACATTTTCCCAGCAGTCATATCTGAATTTTGTATTTGTCTTTTGTATTTATTTTCATTATAATTGTACCTTCGGGTGCTAGGAGCCCTGAACACTGTCATTTCCAGCAGTGTCCATTGACTATACAGTAGCTTCATTCTCCAGCCCAAGGCAGTCTCTGTTTACCTTGTACCATGTGTATTAACAATTATTAATTGATGGATTTAAAGTTCATAGTTCCATGTGATAATCTGGCCAGTATTTGGATCAGAAATATAGGCTTACATAAGCTAATCTAAACAGGACGGTGTATTTTTCTTCATGCCAGATGGAATGGGTATGCTGCCGTGACAAATACCAGTCTTATTTGTGAAAAGAGTGTACCACATAAAGGTAACATTGGCATTTGGAGGTCTGTGACCATTTTAAATTAAGGCAGGCTCTTGTAAAAATGGTTATGAACCTAAATGTTCCGCAAAAGGCATGGAATTTCTTGACTGGCAGAATGATGGCTACATAATTTTTCAAGTAAGACTGTCTAGTGAAGTTAGTGTAACCAGCACTTGTGTTCACACCTCACAAATTAAATGTCGTATTTGTATTGATTACAGGGTGTTGATAATAGTAAGATGGAGTAATCTAAAAAATACAGTGTTTCATTTCACCTTGTAATATTGATGTCTGAGAATGAATGGACAAATGTTTTAGTTGTCGATTAGTTTTGAACGAGGAACTGGTTTCTTTTTTATCTTAAAAATAACAATCGTTTGGACTTGTTTTTTTTTTTTTTTACACTTTGAGCAATATCAATTCATCCGATAGATGAAGGTGTTCCTGAAAATGACTACAGTACATCTGTGAAGGAGGTTGTAGGTTGGCAAGTGCATCACTTAACCCTTATACTGCAGTGTTTAACTTTTGTCGAATGCCTACATTACCTTATACTGTGAAGTGTGACTTCAGTCAATATAAATAATCTTATACTTTAGTAGCAGCATTCAATTTACTGTCTGAACTGCAAAAAAGAAAAAAAGAATTCTTGTTATTCTTTATAGTGTGAAGAGTTTAAAATTGTATGTAAATGCTACAGGTCTGCCATACTGTAGAAAGCTTTTAAGTGGTTATAAATTGTAAAAAAATTCATGATTATCTGGTTTGTAGGTAAGTTTTGTGATTTTTCTCCACATACAAAGTAACCTGATCCTCATAAGTAGTACAAATTTTTATTTTAAAATTACATTCTTCTACCAAAGCAACAAAAAAAAATAATGTGCAGCGTAAGGGTTAATACACAATTTAGTCTTGGTTATGTAGCATACGTTGGTTTATTAATATCTGACTTTGGATAATTACTCTGCCAACTTGGCCATTAGTTTCTTCTACTTCTGTAAATGGTTTACCACAAGGATGTTGATATTTGGTTTGAAGCTGCTAGATATGCTTTATACTGAAGATGGCTGTCTTCTGGGTTGTAATGCTGTATAGTCTGGTAGATGATCACACTGATGATGGAGGCAGCAAGGACTTCTGAACAGGGATTTGTTGTGATGAAAATTAAAATTGATTGTGTGTGTGAGATGAATAATTTTGGAGTGTTCTTGCTTGCCTCCGATTGACTAGCCTAGATAGTTGTGTGTTCCTTGATGGATTTGAAGATTTAAAAATTGTTAATGATTCCTGTTTTACAATTATGTATGATTTGTATTTTGAATATCTGTAGTTCCTTTTTCAATAGCTTGAAAACTACTGATTTTGAAGGACTTTTGCTTTATGTGAGAAAGTCCTCATATTTTTTAAAAAAATTGCCGTGGTAGAAAAGTTGGTAGACGTTACATCAGTGTTCTTCAATACAGTTTTGTCCATATTGAAGATGCAAGAAGAAATGATGCTAGTTTATAAGAAAATGAAAACTGCTCAGAGTTAATCATTAAATCATCATAGCACTTCTGCTGACTGTTGAATAAGGACTGGGGAAAATAAATCATTTGTATCCTTTGCTTTTTTTAAGTCTGTTTATAAATGTCAGAATTTGAGAGCCCTTGTTTGTGGGTTGCATTTCAACATTGAATTACAAGGTCCCCCCCCCCCCCCCCAAAAAAAAAAAACTTTTCATTTTACAGCATCCAGCTCCTCTCACATGACACATCTCCCACTCTGTTCCTGCTGTCAGATCATGAAGTGCCCACTGCCCCCCACCCGATAAATTTCAATGGAAAGGAAATCAATTTCGAAACGATGAAGTGAGGTATTCAGCAGTAGACGTCGTCATAAAAACAACAGCATTGCGATAAGCATCGTTCGCTTCTCATGCAATTGAGATACGGCACGTCTGGCTGACAGAAAAAATATGCAGCCACAGTCAAAGAATGAAGGGCACTCGGAACAGAACAGACTTGGTCCACATGTCGCTTTTAAGGAAAGAAAATTCCCAGGCCAGTGTGACTGGAGGACATCCCAATCTAGTGGTTAGAATGCTTTTATATTTCTATTCTGGGTTTGAATCTTGGCCTAGAGACTGGATCCTAATTTTTTTCAAGGCTTTAATCAGCCATAGACAAATTAGGCTTTATCTGCATCCTTACGTATTCTTTTCATTTCAATAATTTTCCTGTCATTTGATGCTGTGTAGTATCCGGACAGCATCATTAAAGAAATCGCAGACACTACTGAGATTTAAGTTTTGCTGAATGAAGTTTAACAGTGATCTACACAACTTTATTTAGAAAGTTTATTTAATGAAATTTTTCCTAGGACATGTTTCATTCATACCATTTCATATCCAGATAGAAAGCAATAGATGTTCAAAAGACAGGAATGATCAATTTCTATATGGATGTACTTCACATAAGCCATAGTGTCTTTATCATGAGAATTTTTGTGGTGGTAAATGTTCAGTTATTGAATTAGAAACTTTAAAATGTAAGGTAATATTTGTGGTGTTACAATTCTTGATTTAGTATAATGTGTCCTTAGAATCTGCATTGAAATGGTTGTAGAAATATTGATATGAAGTAGGAATTGCCATGGCCATATTTTTAAACTTTAAATTTGAAAACGTGTGGAAGTAAATTTAATTTATAATGTACTAATTTTAAAATCAAGTAAGTTCTGTCTTGTGGCATACAATGTACTGAATTTATGCAACAAAATATTCCTTTTCACTACTTATTTTCCATGACCAAACAGTTTAATTCATATAATATACTGAATATCAGCTGTAGTAAAAACATTTATAACTAGGTTTGTATAGTTGTGTGCCATTTCCTCAAAAAGCATCTTGCTGTTATGTTAGTGAAGTTGCGATTTAAGGTTACACTGATTTTTATGAGGTCTTCTATATAGGGGTTATATCACGACTTGGGTCATTGGAAGTAGCTGGTTATGATGCAGCTAGTATTTAACTTGGTTTTTCTTCCCATTTGCTTGAAGATGAACAGAACCGGCGTCTCAGATGTACATTTTTTCCTTTTTAGAGATGGTACACAAAGTACTCGTGAGAATAAATTGTAAGCGGATGAAGTAGCAAGAGGGCGCAAAAAAAAGCATTATGAGGAGCTTCATAATTTGTCCATATTCTATCTACGCAATATATGTGAAATTAAAAAGTAGCATAGTAAAAAAGAACGGGAATCCTTCCAGAGATTAAATGAAAGTTGATAAGATGAAGGCACAGGAAATACAAATGGCATGGATCATATGGCAGTACAGTGAAAGACAGCATGAAGGAAGAAATGCCTTGGAAGACATGCATGAAAGGATGATATTAAAGATGTTTTCGAAATGGATGGTTTGTAGTTGATTAAGTTGGTTCAGTTTAAACACTAGTGGCGGACTATTGTAAATACTGTAATAAACCTTCGGATTTAATAAAAGGTGGAGAAATTATTGGTTAGAGATCTTCGATTAGAAACACACGGTAGTTATGTTCACAGGTTATGCTTATGACTAAGGTAGACCTAGATGGCGGTGGTTCTGCAATTTATTTAATCTTTGAGTAGGCAATATGTGTTATATATAGTAGTGTTTTGGATGTTGAACCGGAAATATATCCACGTATATATGTTTGGTTTAAGTCTGTAAATTGAAGCATACTGTAATTTTTTTAAAAAGCGCAAATTGGGAAAATTATTGCAAATAAAAATGAGGTGCAGATTGTCTGCTGGTAGTGTGTAACCTTTTGTTGATTTCGTAGTAGGCCTAGTCGGACGAATAGTAGTCACCATTTTTCTTGTGAACAGGTGTATGACATCAGTCATAATATTTGTGTAAATATTAAAACGTGTAGCAACTGCGAGTAAAATGGTACGTTTCAGCACTTTACACTTTATTTACACGTGTGTTACGGCACAAACTAATTTTTTAATGTAATTAGTGTTTTTTTCCTGCACATTTTAATTTTGTGTGTAGGTTCACACCCCTTTCCTGCTTTTGGGTTTCTGTGTATCTGTGGCTTGTAATAGCATATAGATTATCATTAAATTATTTGTGCCCGAAAATTACGATATAACATGTTAACAAATTGTATGCATCACAATTTTTGTGGGAAATAGAAATTAGCAATTTTTTTTATTGTGTAAGCATACTTATATTTACCAGCATTAGTCTGTTAATAAATGGCACTTCTCGGCGTTGTTCTGATAACTTTATATTCTAGTGACTTCGTGTACCTGTCGCCAAATTTTAAGTTTATTCGGAGTTTCTAAGGTAACACAGACTATTCTAACCTATTTAGTTGTCTTAATCTGCCACTGTTTAAGGTTTCTGGCCCATAAACAAATCAATTTAACTGCAGCATAACTTGTCACCTTGGTGTAATGATGATAAATGCTATATTAAGTAGAGGTACTAATAGGAATTATTAAAATTTTCTCAGATAATTTCAGTTCTGGAGGAAGTACATTATTCAGTGATAGCATGTTTCAGTAGTGTCATAGTAATGTTAAATTAGTGTCACAATTAATATTGAAAACACTGTAGTATTTTTAAAAACTGCCAAAGAATTTACATATTAGAGTTGACATGACTTTATACTCTACTGTTCAATGTATTTCTTCATCCTTCATAGACGGATCAGCAAATGGATTGTGCATTAGATTTGATGCGGCGCTTGCCTCCACAACAGATAGAAAAGAATTTGAGTGACTTAATTGACCTTGTACCCAGTCTTTGTGAGGATCTTTTGTCATCAGTTGATCAACCACTAAAAATTGCTAAAGACAAAGATATGGGCAAGGACTACTTGTTATGTGATTACAACAGGGATGGTGATTCATACAGGTAGGTATGTGTGTGAGATGCGGTAAAGTGGTGATCGGAAAAGATGTCAGTAGTTTTTAGTGAGATTTTGTGAATTAAGGACCACATTTTATATTTTTCTTTGATGTAGGAAGTATAGAATACGTTTTATTTCACACTGATGTTACTCGGTTTTGTTTATTTTATGTTTTTATTAATCATCTGATGTATTTTTTTATATGCGGTTTATTTGAGATACATGATGTTTCAGGAGTGAGCTGTACTCCTATATTCATTGTCATTATACTGACACTTTTTCTCATTATGACAACCAGTCACCTGTAGACATTTGAACAGAACTAATCTTAACTAATGTAACAGTGTCAGAAATCCATTTGAAGTAAACCAAACAATGTCCCAGTCATGTAAAATGTGTTGAAACCTAACAGGTGTAATAACTTGAAACATTTCTTGTATGTTGACATTACTGAATAAGGAAAGAAAAAGTGCGGGCCCCAATGAGGGTTGTTCATGATGGTTTTGTAGTTTAAAATAAAAAATTTTGAATTACTCACTTTTTTATTATTTATATACTATTTTCCTTCTATTATCTTAGACACCAGAGAGTGTGCTCTAAATATTTTAAGAATCTTTTCAAACTATCGATGATCTCTAAGTATACTAATTTTGTTGTTACTGTGCCAATTACATTTAGTGTTGTGATTATTCATATTTTGTTAAGAATGTTTTCAAACTGTAGGTAATCTTCTAGATAATTTTTTTTTGTCTGATAGTGTTTCAGATATTCATACTTTATCTCTTCCCCATTAGGCCAGATCATTGAGAGTATTATATATACATATTCAAGAATTTTTTGAAACTACGTTTCTGGATAGATTGGTTTTTGTTTTGCATTATCTCGATGCTTTCTAGGTCCCCATGGAGTAACACCTATGATCCTCCATTAGAGGATGGTTCAATGCCTTCAGAACGCTTGAGAAAATTGGAAATTGATGCAAATCACGCCTTTGATCAATACAGAGAGATGTACTTTGAAGGAGGAGTGTCTTCAGTATATCTGTGGGACTTGGACCATGGTTTTGCAGGTAACACGTCATAATTTATTACAAGAAAATGCGTGTAGAGAAAGAAAATTATTGTGTTCATTTTGCACCTCTCATGAGGTGTGATTAGAAATTTGTTCATCTTGCTACAATGTGACAGTGCTACAATAATTAGTACAGAAGTCATCTGCTAGATGTTGCTAAAACACAGACTTCATAATCATGTATCATTAATTTTTGTGTGTAAAGTCATAAAGTAGATAAAATGAAGTTGTATGTGTTGCTACTTATCAATATTTGTTTTAAAAAAAATTACAGCCATGAACATATTTGTTTGCAAGCAACTCATCTTCTTCTTCTTCTTCTATGGCTCTGCGGTCCGTATTCGGTCCAGGGCCTCCTCAATTCTCCTCTTCCATTCGGTCCTCCGCTAGGTCCGTCTGTCTGAGGCTTTGATCGAGGTTTCGAAACATCTTCCTTTTTACGGTGCAAGGTTGTTGGCCTTGTGACCAACTCCCAACCTGGAGGACCAGGGTACCTGTCTTAGTCTGACCTCTCCCCCTCGACCAATCTGTCTCGGGAGCCCCTACCAGTAGCTCTTGGGGTCGCCGAGGTACTCAAGCCCCACCACCACGTCAAGGTGCAGGTACCATTAAGTGGGGTGCAAGCAATTGTTACCTGGTATAAAATTCTGTACTGTGACCCTTACCCTACGCTGTTAAAAAGAATCAGAACTCTTACTGTATGAACTGTGCGAAACTTCAGTGGCTCTAACAAACCCCATGCATATTTTCTGGTCCCAGCTGTGATGCTAGAAGTATCCTGTTTCACGCCGTGAAGGTGGAACCAGCAATAAATTATGTAATCCCGTGACCCAGTGGTGACTGCAGTGTTGCGGTTTATGCTTGTGATCCACCAGTTACCCTTATGGGAGCCAGCATGTTAGAAACAGCACATGAGCATAAAGTTCATTTTAAACTAGACAACTGCTGAAGAAACCTTTGACATCTTAAGAGTTGCTTTTGGGTAGAAACTACGAGCAGAACTCAACATTTTAGTGTTTTTTTAATTTAAAATGTGATATGACTTCTGTTGAAGACACTGTTTGTATAAAGCAAAGTTTTTTTTGAGGTTCTTGTGGCGGTGAGTATAAAGATGGCTGTCTTCTGGGCTGTAGCGTTGTGTAGTCTGAAATGTCGGTAAACTTCTACCCGACTGCATGTTGGTACAACCCAGAAGACAGCCATCATCAATAAGACCTTGTCTTCTGACATCGATGGAATTGTGCATAAGCATTTCAGCTCACAGGACAAAAGCGAAGCAACGGTTCTTCACAGATATGTACAGAATGGTGTGCAGCAGAAATCTCCTGAGACGTGATGCACTGTAATTTTGGTTCTCCATTATGACAGTGTCCCTGCTTAATCTGCTTTGTGTAGGAATTTCTAGTCAGAAACATTAAGAATGTTTTCTCTTACCCTCAATAATCTCCATGCTACTTTTGTTAGTTAAAATTCATTGGTTAGTGCTCAAGGGGAAGAAATGTTTTTTCATTTCAATAAAAAAAATACACACTGCACTCGTTTGTCCAGAATAGGAATCCCTTGAAAGCTTCTAACAATGATAATTGCTGAAGTCATTGTGTGAGTTACATAATGATTTATGAAAATTGTTTTATCATGGAAAATACCAGTTTTATTGGCCTAACACTTCATAAATTTATTAAAATTTTAGGTAAAGTGTATAACATGTTTTTAGAGTCTTTTTTGACAGATAAAGCTATTAAAGGCTTGACGGCATTAGAAATTATAAAGTTGAATTCAAATTTAGGGGGTCCGCAGTGGCCGCACGGTCTGAGGCGTGGGTCTTGTGCCGCTTGGTCGCGGGGACCGTGGGTTCGAATCCCACTCAAGCCATGGATGTTTTTCTGTGTTGTGTTGTCCTGTGTACAGGTAGAGTCCTTGCGACGGGCCGATCCCTCGTCCAAGGAGTCCTACCGAATGTGTGTAGATCGAGCCAGCTGAAAACTTGGGGACCCGTAAAGGGTACCGGAAAATGTACAAGCATTGTTAAACCGGAAAAAGAAGAATAATTCCAATTCAGAGACCAGCAAAATATGATTTGTTTTCTAAATTAAATTTAGCACAGAAACAGTTAAACACTTGTATATTTTTTTACATGTTGCATTTCACCACATAAATTTATTTTGTTTGAATACTAAATCTCAAAGTGTACACCCGCTTCCGCCCTTGAGATTGAATTTTTTGACTGCATTGCCAAATACAATGACCATATCTTCATATTCTTCTTCTTGTTTTATTGTTTTGGTGTTGTAATTTTGAGACTGTTGAACTGTAATGTAATTTATGCGTATGTCGGACTAGCGAGTGGTACAGTCATTCTCCTTACAGGTGTTATTTTAATCAAGAAAGCAGGTGATGGCTCAAAGAAAATTAAGGGTTGTTGGGATTCAATTCATGTAGTTGAAGTACAGGAGAAGACGAGTGGTCGCAGCGCTCATTATAAGCTGACATCTACAGCCATGCTGTGGCTACAGACGAACAAACCTGGTTCTGGAACCATGAATCTTGGTGGTAGTCTAACAAGACAAGTAAGTTGGGGCTTGATTACTCCTTAATTTTGTATGCTGTTATGAATATACTTGACTCCATGGTCTTCAAATTACTTCCACTGAATAAATAAATTTACGTGTCTTTGTAGCAGGAAGGCAATTTTTCTGCTTTCCTGGTTTTTGTACTCGGCAGTGGAAGTTCAGGAAATATTACTTTGTGCTTGTCGGATATGAAAGCTTGCATTTAGATGCTTCGTTTTAGTCTATATTGGTTGACTATAAGTGTTTTTTTTTGTGTGAAGGTCAAATCAGGCTTTACCAAATTTGTCAAGAACAACTAACCTTATGTACTGGAGTACTACTTGAAAGACTAATATATGCTCTTCTAGTCAAAAAATCTCTGCCTTTTTTTAAGGAATTTGAAGGTTTATTACGCTAAAGCTGTTCATTTTATAAAATATTTGCATGTGACAAAATGTAGATCACATTAAGATCTACAGTTTCTACATGAAATAGTTTTTAATATGATGAATATTTAATTAAATAAATGGAAAAAAATAGTTTCTAATGCTTACGCAGTATGATAAGCTTCGTGACAGTAGATCTGTGTCAGCAATAAATGAACATCACTATAAATAACTTAAATTAAATGAAGGTAGGGGACACTTATCCCACTTTATCAGTTGCCGTGTTCAGTATTGATAAACTTTGTGGTGATTTGAAGGTGGAAAGTGATGCCAGCGTGAGTGAGGCATCACCACACATCGCCAACATCGGGCGGATGGTGGAAGAAATGGAAAACAAGATCCGCAATACACTCAATGAAATCTATTTTGGGAAAACAAAGGACATTGTGAATGGGCTTCGTAGTATTCAGCCCCTAGCAAACCAACAGCAGCAGGATGCACTGCGACAAGACCTCGCACTAGCATTTTTGAGGAGGCAAGCTAAGGGAGACTCCAATTGAAATCACGTGGTCCAGTGGTCAGCAAGCTAATAAACTGAGAATAAACTGCTCGTCGTGTACGGCACGAAGTTAACTTTTGTTTTGGCTGTATTAGCGCTGGTGATTGTGTATATAACTAAAATGCCTGGATTATAACACATACAAAATTCTGATCAATGGAGGTGGATATGTACTAGTTTAGATTGTTTGTTGACATTTTACAGAGGTTTGAAATTTGTGAGATGTAACCTAAGGAAATGTCCTACGTAAGCGATAACAAGCGAGCTGCATAAGCAGCATGGGGTGTCACATGAAGCGGGGAATCGCTTGTCCTGTCCTACGTGAGAGACCGCAATAGAAGCACACGGCCTTCCTGCGCACGCACCTTCCATGTACTGCACGGTCAGAGCTTCCTTGCGCATGCGCCTTACTGGCCAGCGCATCGATTCGCGCGAAAATATCAAAATATTTGATCTCGGACTTTGGCCGCTTCCCTCTCCTGACCGCTTCGCTGGAACCTAGGACAGCGCCACACAAACGGCCAGTTTGATATTTCCGCTTCACCCACACAACGCGCACCGCTCGCATTTAATTGCTCACGTAGGACACCGGGTAAGACTACCTCTCCAAGGAATCCTATCTTAACATAACCATTGACGTGCAGAATTTTAAAACTTGCATGCTACTGTCACATGCTTTAAACTCTGGGCATGTTAGTTAGAATTTGCTGGCACGAGTGTTTGGGTATGAATCACTTCTCCTTGTTCAGAACTGGCATGTATTTGGTCCACATAGTTTATGACGCATTTGTTACGAGTGTCTTATTTTTTTATGCAATTTGTAAAATGAAATATATGTATATATACTGCATTGTCAGATGTTGTTGGAAAGGTTCTAAGTAATGACGTGCATACCGGCATAGTATTGGCTTGTCTGTCTGTCTTCCGGATTATATTTCTGGGAATCGATCGCTTGTTCCCAGTCTGTTCAGCTAAGCCTTGTACTGTTGTTGTTGAACATTGTTAAGTAGCCATCTTGTTGGATGCTGTCATCAACTCTGATAAATCTGTTTAAAAGCTAAATTGCTTTTGGCTGATTCACTGCTTTTACCATTCAGTGATATGATATAAAGTTTATTTACAAAACATGAAAAGCCACTTTTTTTTAATTTCCTAGGACTCGGTTATAGAATTGTGTGCTGGATGAGACTTACTGTGGAGGATGGTCACTTAACCCTTTGATGTTTATGATTTATTTCCATCTGCCACACACCGAATAGTTATAAGGCTTCTTCACATCTTAACAATTTCAATAAAGGCTTCATCAAATGATCCAAGTAGGTAAGAATTTTTCATTTTCATAACATTTCTGTGTTTACTTTGCACCGATTGGCCATTTTGATTAATTTCTAAGCAAAAAAATAAAGAGTTAGTTTCATTGAATGCTCAGAGATAGCATCATTTGAAGAAGTCCTGAAGTGTAGTAAATGTATGTATCCTTCCTTCTATGGCTCTCCGGTCCGTATTCGGTCCATGGCCTCCACAATTCTCCTCTTCCATTCGGTCCTCTGTTAGGTCCGTCTGTCCGAGGCTTTGATCGAGGTTTCGAAACATCTTCCTTTTTATGGTGCAAGGTTGTTTGCCTTGCGACCAACCCCCAACCTGGAGGACCAGGGTACCTGTCTTAGTCTGACCTCTCCCCCTCAACCAATCTGGCTAGGGAGGCCCTACCAGTAGCTCACCGAGGTACTCAAGCCCCACCACCACGACAAGGTGCAGATACCATTAATTAACCATAGCGAATTAGAGGACATACATCTACATGTGTATTTTATTTAGCTCACTGTTATTTAGATATATATATATATGTGTGTGTGCATTTATTCGTCAAAGGGTTAAAGATCAGATTCAGTAATAAATATTAGTGCTAGAGGTGCTGAAGTTTATCTTTTGGTGTAGCAGTTTATCGTAAGGAACCCAGAAAGTATCGTTTGGTATAATGCCAGGAATGCACATGGAGAAGTCTTTTACATTGAAATACAAAGTGTAAGATTATTGCAAATAAACATCATTAATTATTATGCCATTTCCTTAACATTGGCTATTGACTTCTACTATTGCTTTCACAAACATAGACTCTCTCCATTAATGCAAATGTGTGTGTGTGTGTATATATATATAACAGATGAAAATTCATGCTTAATTTTTCTCTGATTCAGTATCAAAAAAACAGATTCTGAAGCAATATCTATGTTTCTGGAAGCAGTACTAGATACTGTTGTGGACTTTCTTTGGCAAAAGTAATTTTTTTATATTAATAATTACACAGATCCTGATACAGAATGGTGAATATGGAAGGTTAGGTTAGGTGATCGCTCTCGTGCTGCTGTAGCGCTTAGGCTGTTCATTGCAGTGCAGATAAGATTAACATGCACCCTTATAAAGACTACAGGAAAAACAAACTGATTATCGCTATATTAAACTAGAACAATATTGCGAGACCTAATCTCTTGTGAATAGCCGAAGAATACGGGCATCGGAGTGAGTCATGTCAGTTTAAAGTCTTGCAGATAATGAGCCAATACTGTTTTGAATTATTGTAAATAATAAAATACCATTTGTCATATGGTAGATGTTTTTGTTAATTCTTTTCTGTGGAGTTTTGATAATTCTGGTACTTCCCCTGATGGGAAGGTCATTGGTTTAACATTTTCAAGTTAAGGGAATCATTGAGCAACCAGTTGAATTTTTTTTTGTTATTACAGTTACTGACACTTTTAAGGCGAATCTGCTTTGTTCGTTTCTGTAGTCCACCTACACGAGGATACGTCTGCAACTATTCTGTCTCAGGTGTTTGGTATATAGTTGCAGCCATTTACAAATATATTCATTTAATCTGTATAGCTATTTTAGAATTTTTTCTGTGTGTTTGAAGATGTTAACATATTCACTGCAAAGACATTGCCCGATGTATGTGCATATTTGTTCATCATAATGTGTATCACTCTTGTTGAGCGGCCCATCCACGTACGAGTCTGGGTTGCGAGTCTGGCTCGGCTCAGGTTCCATTGAGCGAAACTCGTTTGTGGGTGGGGTGTCGCGAGCCGAGTCTGATGAGCAAGCAATGCAGTCTTACCTCCATTATGTTTTGTGATTAAGGTATTAAACCATCCTTGATAATAAAGGTGCTTCGCACTATGGTGGGTTTATCTTTGATTGCTACTGATAGTGAATGTGTTAATTGTCATTCATTTAGAATATTATTTGCAAGTGATGAATGTGCGTATGAGACTATGTACATCAGTGGTCCCCAACCTTCTTATGCTTACGGGCACATTTGAGAGTTTATGAGATCGTGGCGGGCACCAACCAATTAACAAAGCCAATTTTTCTTTTCTGTGGACAAATAAGATATGGACACCAAATAATACACAAAACAACACGACGTTTAATGATACAAGAAACCACGCAATCAAAAATACATAGTTTTATAAGTACAATTATTATTACTCAAGTGGGAAGTTAGTGTGATGTTTGGCGCTGCATTTCATCGGCCAGTTTTTCAAATTTGGGAGAGTAGGATGATGTTGCTGCTCGAAAACAATTGTCAAGATGGGCGTCAGTAAGTCGAGATCTGTGCTTTGATTTTATAATGTTCATGGTTGAACGGCCTTCATTATTCAGTATAACCTCTTTCCATAACAACTCGGGCACCCAAAAAAAGCCTCGGCGGGCGCCGCATTGGGGACCACTGATGTACACCTTAAATCAACTAAAGGATGAGCTAATAAAATATATTCCATTTTGTAAGCTTTAAAAGTGAAACATGCTGAGAAGTTAGTTTATAATTTGAATGTAAATTTATTGTTTACAATAATTGTACCCTTTTGTTTTGTTAATAGGACTACTTTTTCATATGCCCAGTATTTCCAGAATCACTTCACTTTCATGGCATTTAAAGATAATCATGGTGATATATGAAAATTTATTATAATTTTAATATGAAGCTCCAGTACTCATTATAATTTAAATTATTTTCTTTGTATGAACTATGTACAGTAATTATATTGTTTACCATGGGTATACAACCCTTTAAAGAATGTGGACCACATTAGATCTCGATCAAAACTTTTTTTGAACAATAATTCGTGAGATACAATAACTGGAAAGAAGTAAATATCAAAATTTTTTGTACATTTATGTCTGACGCTTTCTAAATCACATTGTACTTGCATAACTGAACATGTGTAAGAAGAGTTAATTGTTTATTTCATGTTGATGCCTTAGTTTGGCACTGAATTGCTTTGTATAAAAAATATTTCTCACAAACAAAAACCCGGAAATTGACTATAATATTACATTTAAGAACGTCATTCTGCATTAAACTGTATATCCAATTCACAAATGTAATTCTATATATTCACAATCATTTTAATTATTTTTTCTTTTTTACATCAGAGGGAGATATTGAACAATTAAAAAGTGTCAAGAATACTGGAACCTTTCTGTCTCAGAATTTTAATCTGCATGGTTGTAAAATATTTCTGATATTTTCTACGATATACTGAGATATATTACTTCAAAATTTTTCCTCTTTACCTGTATATTTTTTATATGTGGCATTATCAATGAAAAGTAACTTCTTCCACCATCTCTTGACACTTTACGTTAACCATTTCCAGTACGCTATAAAATGAATTGACGTTTTCATGAAATTGTAAATCAAAGGAAGTCTCGTCCTGCAAAAGATATCGGTATTGGACGGATTAATATATTTTCACCCATAGGAAAAGTAAGCGACTATGGAAAGGGTGGCAGTCTGCAAGATTGCGCATTTGTTGCATATAATTGCCACATAAAATGTACACAATCAATGTATTGTTCCCTTGATCTTACCAGTGTTAGTGAAGCAACGTATGTCACTCGGATATGTAATAACCTGTATTTATAACTCTGTCAGTCGCAGACATCGTTTTACGTAAAAGTGAGCTGGGATAACTCGGTTGTTAAAGTGACTGGCCGCTGACTGAAGTTTGATTCTTGGGAGGGGCAGTCATTTTCTTTATTGCTGTGATGATCAGGTTTTCTGTGGGACTCATCCAGTCTCCTAGCCGATGGTTACCAGAGACTAAAGCTGACCAATCACCTCCATCTCTTTGGGGTTGAAAATATGTGGGGTTATACCTGCATTCTTTGCTACGCCATTGTGATGTAGTTCTTAAACACGGGCAAGTTTACCTTTGCGCTATTTGTATAAATATGTTACTTGTCTGGCCCTAGAAGTCAGTTTTAAGACCATTAAGTTTTGACTTTGGGAAGGGGGGGGGGTCAATTTTTGAGAAGAACAAATCTTAGTCGTAAGTCTCCATGTACAGCAACTCCTCATTTTGCAGTAGGAACACAACCCTTGAAAGTCATATGCTGGGTGAAAATTTATTAAACAAAAATTATTTCTCTCTTAATTTGAACGACTAATACTGATCCTGAAAATTGGTTTGTTAATGTGAGTTTTTGTAAAATGAGGAATTTTCATTTTTTGTTGTTGTAATAGTTCTACTTGTAATACACAACGAAACTCTACTTTCTGTCACGGTGAGAGGGTTAGTTTAGTTTTATGCGTATATTCTACGTTGGATACTGCTTGTTGAAATTAATGCTGTTAACAGAAATCATGAGATGCCGTTTCATAAACTGATAGTTCATGCTATTACTTGAGTGTGTAATGACTCTCACAACAGTGATTTATCCTTTATATGTTGGGCATTACAGCCTTTATTGTAATTAAATCAGCTGTTTCTGCCATGTATTAGTAATATTTTGAATTATTATTTTTTTATGTTTGGTGCAGCCAGGAACAAAAATCGAGAATGTTTGCGGAAGTTTAATTGGAGCTGTACCTGTGTTCATGCCATTTTGTCTTGATGCTTTTTATTATTGTCCTTATTTTTATTAGTTTCCATTCTGATTTGTTTTTTAATAAGTGAGCTCGTTCTTCATATTTCCAGTTTTATCGCTGTTGTTTTTGTAAGATTAATGGATTTGGTATGTTGAAGGTGTTTATTTGTGGGCCTATTTCTGTAGCAGGCAATGCCAGAACCTACTTTATAATAGAGAAATACATAGATTTTATATATTTACTGTAATTATATTAAATTATATGCACTGATTCAATCAATAAAGAAGATCTATGGATCAGATAATCACAGAACATTAGAATGAATAACTGACAAGGATGTAAAAGGTGGAATTTCAGGTTTTGAAGAAGGCTGTCTTTGGGATGTTTCACTTTCTAGACTGTTGGCTATTGATTGATGTTTCAGAGGTGCTTATTGCCTCTATCATCAGGGTGAAAGCTCCCATAAACCATTGGTCATTGTTTACCATGTTCTGAAGTATTTTCTCGGGATTGA